CCGCCCCCCAGCCCCAACCGCCCACGGAGCCCCTGGGGGCAGCTGGACCCCTATGACTCCTCTGAGGTGCAGATGCCTCTGTGGGGAGGGGGGACATGGGGCGAGGGGCTGCAGGAGTCACGGTGGAGGATGTTCCCATCCTCTGAAGCCAAGGGGCTGGGGAGGCATGGCCACATCCCACCGTGCTCGGGGCAAGAGGGAGGGGGTGGCCTGCCAGGATGGGGGGTGGATGGGATGATGGTGTTCCCTGTCCCACATCCCCTCTGCCCACAGGATGACAAGGAGTACGTGGGCTTCGCCACGCTGCCCAACCAGGTCCATCGGAAGTCGGTGAAGAAGGGCTTTGATTTCACCCTCATGGTAGCAGGTACAGGGTGGGGCTGAGCCTGGCACGGGGTTTGCTGACCCCACTCCGGATCCCAAAAGCCATGGAGCAGGGTGGGCACCAGCTGCACCTTCCTCACCCTCGTTCCCCCTGTCCCAGGGGAATCTGGGCTGGGCAAGTCCACCCTGGTCAACAGCCTCTTCCTGACGGACATGTACAGAGACCGCAAGCTGCTGAACGCTGAAGGTGAGGGGGGCACAATGGTCTCAGCAATGGCGTGTCCTGGGTGTCCCAGGGGGGTGGCAGAGCCCTGTGACACTACTGGGGGGGGTACAGCCCCTGTCCCTGACCGGCCAGGCTCCTCTGGTCTCTGAAGCCACGTGCAGTGCGTTGCCAGCTGCCTGCCAGTGCTGGGGACTGCTCCAAGGCAGCAGAGAACCCCCCTGCCCAGCATGGGGACCCCCCGCGGGGGCTTTGTCCCTGCTGGGAAAACAAGCCCCAGCTTGTTGGGCATCGGCTGGAACCACAGCAAATCTGGGAGGCTGCAGACAGTTGGGGTCAGTTGGCACAGTGCCGGTTCAGCTGCAGCCAGTTTTTGAATGAAAACTGCCCAAACTTGCCCAAATCCCCAGGGGTTGGAGGCGGTTGTTTGGTTTGTTTCCGTCGTTTGGAGCAAAAGCCAAAACGCATGTGGCCATCCTCGGGGATGCAAGGACATGGAGGGGTCCTGGGGGTAACGGGGCATGTGCAGTCCCAGAGCTGGGGGGGTCACACGTGGGGGTGCAGGGAGCCAAAAATACTCCTGCAGCGATGCCTGTTCCCAGCAGACCCCCATGCTGCCCGAGCCAGGCTGTCGTAGGGTGGCGGTGGCACAGCCCAAGGGGTGGGTGTGCATCCAGTGGATGTGGGGGGCCACAACGTGGGGCATCATCTCTCGGCACTGAACCCAGGCACACATTGGGGCTGATCTTGCAAAGCCACCCCAGCCCCCCAGGGTGGGGGTGACACCCGAGGGCTGCAGCATCTCCCTGTGTCACCCCCATTTTCTCTCGCCGCCGTTGCTGTGTCTCTTGCCGCTGCAGAGCGCATCACACAAACAGTGGAGATCACCAAACACGTGGTGGACATCGAGGAGAAGGGTGTCAAGCTGCGCCTGACCATCGTGGACACGCCAGGCTTCGGTGATGCCGTCAACAACACTGAGTGGTGTGTCCCATGGTGGGGTGGGGTGTCTCCCCAGGGCCAGGCAGCATCACTGTGGGTGCTAGCAGCTCTGAGGGTGGGGGGCCCATGGCTGCTGGGCTACGATGCTGAGCCATGGGAGGTGTTGAGCTGAGAGTCCAGGGGAAGCCTGAGGGTCCCACAGGGGGACTCTGACAGTCACCTCCCTGTCCCCGCAGTTGGAAGCCAGTGGCTGACTACATCGACCAGCAGTTTGAGCAGTATTTCCGCGATGAAAGTGGCCTCAACCGGAAGAACATCCAGGACAACCGTGTCCACTGCTGCATCTACTTCATCTCGCCCTTCGGCCACGGGTACAGGCACCCCCTGCCTGTGCTGCTGGGATGGGGGAGGCTGGGGAAGGGGCTTGGTGGGATGGTGCTCAGCAGGCTCCCCCCGCAGCCTCCGGCCCCTGGACGTGGAGTTCATGAGAGCCCTGCACCAGCGGGTGAACATCGTGCCAGTGCTGGCCAAGGCTGACACCCTGACCCCCACCGAGGTGGAGCGCATGAAGAACAAGGTAAGGGGAGATTGGCCCAGCCTGGAGCCATCCCAGCAGGTCCCTGGGGATGGGGGTGCCCTGGGTGCTCTCTCTAAGCCCCTGCCCGGGCTTTGCCATGCAGCATCCTCCATGCTCGCAGAACTGTAGAGGGCCATGTTGCCCACATGGCCACCAAGGACACATCTCCCTGGTGCTCAGCTGGGAGTTGGAATGGTCTGGGGCAGGGGGCCTCCATGACATCTAGTCTAGGGAGGACAGGCTTTTGTGGGTCCTGGAGGGACACTTCCCACCCCCTTTCCAAGGGCCAGAGCCCTGCCCTCAGTGGTGCTGTCTGCCTCCAGATCCGGGAGGAGATCGACCACTATGGCATCCGCATCTACCAGTTCCCTGAGTGCGACTCGGATGAGGATGAGGAGTTCAAGCTGCAGGACCAGGCGCTGAAGGTGGGTCATAAAACTTGCTTGGATTGGAAAGGACCTTTAAAGGTCCCCTCTGTGAAGGGTCAGGCTCCTTCAGCTCCATCCTTGGGAGATCAGAGCCCCATGGCTGGGAGGACATATCATCCTGGGGTACCCTTGGGACTCTTTGGGGCCACACAAGCCCTCCGGCAGCCCCAGCATGGTGGGATTGGTACATACTGCACTACCCAGGCAAGTCACCAAGACCCCACAGGTGCCACCTGCAGCTTGGTGGGATGGGGCTGGTGTGGAGAAACTGCTGATGTGCCACTGGGGGCTCTACATAGCCATGGCTCCTGGGCATCTTGGCAAATGAGTGCTGGATACAGCTGAGGGGATGTTTCTGGAGGGACGTGGGCCACGGCAGGCAGGCTCCAGCCCTGCTAACCCCTGCTGTCTTCTCACAGGAGAGCATCCCCTTTGCCATCATTGGCAGCAACACGGTTGTGGAGGCCAAAGGGCGGCGTGTCCGTGGGCGCCTCTACCCCTGGGGCATCGTGGAAGGTAATGCTGGGCTGTGTCACCAGTATCCCACCAGCCCTGGGGTGATGGGGACCTTGAGAGCCCCATCTCAGCCTGGAGGGGCTTAGGGGGACGTGGGGGGCTGGCTGTAGCCCCCTGACGCTAGGCTCCCCTGCAGTGGAGAACCCATCCCACTGCGACTTCGTGAAGCTGCGGACGATGCTGGTGAGGACTCACATGCAGGACCTGAAGGACGTGACGCGGGAAACCCACTATGAGAACTACCGCACGCAGTGCATCCAGAGCATGACCCGCATGGTGGTGAAGGAGAGGAACCGCAAGTACGGGACCGCGAGCGGGTTGCCAGGCTGGTGGGGGGGGGCGGTGGGGGAGCGTCTCCTCTCTGGGGTGACGCCAGCCCATTGCAAGGGGGGATCTTTGGGGGTTGGGATTCTAGGTGGGTCCATGTCAGGCATTGTGGTGGGCTGGGCAAGGAAGCCATGGCAGTGTGGTGGGATGCCCCAGTGCAGTGGGGGGCCCTTCCTGTGCTGTTGGGCTAGGACTGGCTGAGGGGGAGGATGCTTCCCCCCAGGCTGGGTCTGTCTTGGGGACAATGCTCCAGCACTGAGGGGAACCCTGTGTTCCACTGGCCTGGCTGGGGCAGGGAGGGGTGGGGGGGGGAGGATGCTCAAGCAGTGATGGGGACCCTGTGTCCCCCCAGGGCTGGGGCTGCCTGGCAGGGCAGGGGGAAATGCTCCAGCAGTGGAGGGAACCCCGCGTCCCCCTGGGGCTGGCTGGGAAGTGATGCTCCAGCAGCAAGGGGCGACCCTGCATCTCCCTGGGACTCGGGGGTGGATGCTCTGGCAGTGAGGGGGGACCGTCTGTCCCTTCAGGCTCCAGGGCTGGAGCAGGAGCCAACCAAGCAGCCGGTGCTGGGGCTCTGCCCCCAATACCAGCCAGATTCACAGCACTCACACCCCCTTTAGCCACCACAGGATGTTGGGGAAAGGCCCCCAAAGCAGGGTCCCTGCTGGGACCCTCCAGCCGGGGGGCTGGAGCTGCACCAAAGCAAGCAGAGGCTCTGTGGGTGATGGAGGGCCAAAGCAATGGCACTGGTGGAGGGGGCTGGCGGCGTCTCCAGGCGCCTCTGAGCTGGTCTCTCCACACGTGCCACCGGAGAAGGCGGCATCCCTCCGCGCTGAGGCTGTGCTGCACCGACTGCTCCACCGACTGAGCCAGGATCCGGCTGGGGCCACGCTGGGCCCCTGCCACCCTCCTCCCCCTGCTTGTCCCCCTGGCCCCTATATAAAGCACTTGCTGGTACCCAACGCTGTCTTGGTCCTTCTGTGCCCGCGCAAGGGCCAGGCAGCTGCTCTTGGGGAGAGCTGGCCCCGTGGCCACCCACCTGTTGCCCACACAAGTTGCCCTTGGGGTGCCGGCAACACCAGCAGTGCCGGGAGGATGCCGTGTGCCGGTGGCACGGCCCTGGATCACCCAGGCAAGGTGGGGTTGGGGGGACATGTCACTGCTTGGTGGCACCAAGCTTTTCCCAGCCAAAGGCTGCCCAAGGGAAGGGCTGCAGGGCGGCACCCCCATCCTGCTGCCCTCCCAGAGGATGTGATTTTGGGGTACAGGAGGCAGCGGTAGGCAGGCCTGCTGCCTTTTCTAGGAAGGCAGTTTTTTCTGGGCTGGTGAAGCTGCTTGCTCCGTTGTTGGTGCCTGGCTCAAGTCTTGTCTTGCTGTCAAGGATGGAAGGAGCTTGATGTGCCCCATCCTGGGTTCCCCCGTGGCGAGGAGCCGTGACAACGGGCAGGGACTTCCAAAGCAGCTCAAAATGTGTCCAAACCCATCCCTTCCCGTGGCATGCTGGCACAGCCCCCCTCAGCACAATGGGAGCCCGCAGGGCAGAGGTGGCCCAGCCCACCTGCCATGTCCATCGTCCTTTGCATGCGGAGGAGCTGCACCAGCGGTGGCACGTGGCGGTGGCAAGTGGTGACATGTGTGACCCCTGCCAGCCACGTTGGCAGTGTCCCAGCCATGTCGTCACCCGCTGGGGTAGCACGTGGCATTCTCAGGGCCCTGGCTGGGACAGCTTGTCCCTCCCCATTGCCATTGGTGTGGGAGAAGCCATCGATTTGACCGGCCACAGTTCTGCCCAGTGGGGTGGCCCCAGGGGGATGCCTGCAGCTCCCTCCTCCACCAGGGATGGGCTTGAGAGGAAGCTGATGCTTGGGAAAAGGGGTGCAGAGCATCCCTGGGGCTGGCTGGGCAGAGGGGTGCCTGGGGAGCCCCTCCTGCGGCAGACCTGTGGCTGTGGAAGGGAGATGCTAAATTTAAGATGTTGTAAAGCAGCAGACAAAATACTGGGTGAGGAGAGCCTGAGTCCAGCTTGAAGCACCCAGGCAAGGCTCTGTGCCTGGGAGGGTCCCTGGCTCTCTGTGCTGTGGTGGTGCCTCCCTGTGTCCCCCAAACTGGTTAGCAGCAGCTCGCGGGGGCTGAGGTTTGGGGACTTGCCTGGAGCTGTTCACGTACCCCACTGCCAGGAAAAGGGCCTGAGTGGGGCTCAGGGTCTGTACAGGCAGGTGGTGGGTATCTGCGAGGTTTGGGATTTCCGGGGCTGCAGCACCCATGAGGGGATGTCCCCTGGGGGGGGGCGGGAGGGCTGTGGCAGCATCCTCACCTCCTCTCTCTGCCTGCAGCAAACTGACACGGGAAAGTGGGACGGATTTCCCCATCCCTGTCATCCCCCCAGTGCCAGACGCAGAGACCTGTCTCTTAT